CGCGACCATGTTCCTTATTGCAAACAACGAAACGCCGGCTTGTGGTGTAACAGTCACTTGATGGCATGACGCCGCCGGCGGACACGATCCTCTTGGAGGCTACACTGACAAGTACAGCAGCACCGCCCCATCCCTTGAAGCTTCCTTTGCCGGTGCGGGGAGCACCATCCAGCTCAGGTCCATCAAACAGCGGGCTGGTTCAGGTGCGATGATCGTCGACGCCAACGAGTCGTCGCAATCCCCCGAGGACCTTGACGCTCCTGCGTAGTTAATTCAACTCGGTGCATCCGGTCGGTATGTGCTTCGCCTGTTGGATTTAGTGGTCCCAAACCCCAAGCGACAACACCTCTACGTACTGTTGTGTCGATCCAAAGTGACGTCCCTGACAAAGACCTTCCTCACCACGTTCGAGCGAACGGCGGAGCGGTTGTTGCTGGCCGACGGGCCGGACGGCCAGCTCAAGGGGTGCCACCTCCACAGTTTCGACCACCCCCTCGACCACATTATGGACCTGCGCGACTTCAAGTCGGTTGTCGTATGCAAACCAGCGACGGCAAAGCCCCCCACCGTCGTCGCCGACATCCACTTGTTCGCCAACTTTGTGCCGTACGCCCATTTGACGGCCGAGTCGGAGGCGGCCCTGGCCGCGAAAGCAAGTCTTCTTGCCGCCAAACAAGCCCAAGACAACGAGGACTTTGGTCGTGAGGGAGTGCAAGTAAACCTTCAGCACGCTGAGCTCGACATCGCGACTCTCCAGGCCAGCGCCCATGAGCTCTTTCGCATGTTTGACCGGGATCGGTCTGGTACAATTGAATTTTCAGGTAAACAGCTCCTTCGTCCTTTGGATCACGCAGCTGCTCGTGACTCATCACGACGGCGCCGCCGTAGAATTTCAGCGCATGCTAGCCTTCCGCCACATCAACTTGCTCGAACCGCAGGCGAGGCGATTCTTCGCTCTCTGCGACATCGATCGTGGGTGCGATCACGTTGTGGGGGCATTCGACGGCGCTGACACCCGCTTGTAGGGGCGCCATCGACGAAGAGTACGGTCATGATGATGGGGGGATATAGCGCTGTAATGATCTTGTGGGGATCGCGTAGGGAGTTTGTGGCAGCGCTGTACATGACCAACTACCTGAAAGGTCGCAAACCCACGCCACACTTGACTCCTGAAGATGTATTTGCCGTATTTGACGGTTCGCTGCGTTGGTTGTGGCGTCGCTGAGCAGCACATCTTGCTTAGACGACCGCGACAATTGTTTGAACTTGCTCGAGTACGAACTCGCGCTCAAGGCCCTTGGCGTCCAGGCCCCGAAGCAAGCCATGATGAAGCATTTTCCATCGGCAAATCGCTTGATCACACTGCTAGAGTTTCAAGTAAGCGGCAACGTTTTGGCAGGTTTGAGAAGTGTTGGAGTAGCGGGCATGGGTCGCCCTCATCGATGTCGTCACCGAATGCGAGACGAGAAAGCTGCTGCCACTGCCCCCGCCTCCGCTCCTCCATCAACGTCTGCTTCATCCGAGCCTTCGAACGCAGCAGCTTCAGGGCCATTTGCTCGCGGGTTTGGCAGCTCAAGCCGCCGAAGAAGTCGCCGCGGCTGCTGCCGCGCGGGACGTTGTTCTCGAAATCGGTCGCTTACGCGCGATCGAGCGACAGACCGCTCAGCGCGAGGTGCTGCACCTAAAGCGCGGCGAAGAAGTCGAGATCAAGACGATAGAGGCGCTGCGGGAACGAGAGGAAAAGATGCAGCGGCGACGGGCAAGGAATGCCAAAGTCAAGCTCGTCCAAGAAGAGAAGCGCCTCGTGGCATTGGTAAACGCAGATCGCGAACGCCGCAAGCAGTTGCTCATGAGCGTCCGGACGGAGGCGCTGATGCGTCGCCGCGACGATACGGCCGCGCGTCGAGCTGCTCGCGGGGACGACGAGCTCCTTCTAGCCAACCGACAACTCGTCGTCGTACCACATGAGCTGTATCATGGCAAAGCTGCGCTCATGGAGCTCTCCAACATGATAATCGTCGACCTGGCACACAACAAGCTCACGACGCTTCCAGAAAACTTTGCGTACAACTTGGATTCAGTTCAAAAGCTCGACATCAGCTACAACGAGCTCGAATCGTTGCCCGTAGGAATGCCATCTTACCCATCGTTTCCATGACGTGTCGATGGAACTCAGCGTCGTGGCTGGTGCTAGGCGGACATCGGCCAACTGCACGCGCTGCGGCTATTGAGCGTACGACGGAACCGACTGACGGCGCTGCCCGCGTCCTTGTCACGCCTTGCTTGTCTCGAGATCCTTGATGTGTCGTCGAATGCGCTGTGCAGCCTGCGCCTCGGCCACGACACTACCAACACGACCGCATCGTCGTGGGGAGGGCTGCGAGCCCTCCAGGCGTTGTACGTCGGTGACAACAGTCTAGCGACGCTGCCGCCAGACCTGAGCGCGACGCCGAGTTTGGCCTACTTGGACATGGTTGGAAATCCCGTGAGTCGGTTTCCGCTGAGCTTTCGAGACTGTCGTGCGCTTGTGATGCTGGACGTGTCCAAGTGTGCGCTCAAGCACTTGAGTACCGAGTTTGGAAGCCACCCCCGCGCGCAAGTCGTCCAGATGTCGTACAACATGCTGAGCCACTTGCCACCATCCGTGGCAGGGCTGACGGCGATGCAGGAGCTCTCTATTTCGCACAACGAACTCCTGTCGCTGCCGGAGGCGGTCGGGGCATGGGGCGACCTCGTGGCTCTAGACGCGTCGTACAATCGAATCCGATTGCTGCCAGACGAGATCGGCCAGTGGCGCCAGGTTGAAGTCCTCAACTTGAGCCACAACCGCCTCCAGAACGTTCCACGCCAGATTGGATCGCTCGCCTTTTTGCACACCCTCCACTTGCGCGACAATGCCCTGGTCGAGCTCCCGCTTGACATGGGGGCGCTGACCGCCCTTCGCCACTGCGACCTGTCGCGAAATGCCCTAACGGCGCTGCCACCGCAGCTCGGATTCTGCCATGCCCTGCGGACGCTGGATGTGTCCGAAAACGTGATCACAGCGCTGCCGCCGTCCGCTGGCATGTGGATGGCACTGGAGAAGCTCCAACTGCAGCACAACCAACTCGTGTCGCCCCTGCCTGACACGGTCGTGGACTGGACGGCGCTGCGCGTCCTCGATTTGAGCCACAACGCGCTGACGCATCTCGACCGCGCGTTGTGCACCCTCACGCGGCTCGAGAGCCTCAACGTAGCCAAGAATCGCATCGCATTTCTTCCCGTCGAGGTTGGAAACATGACGGGGCTGCGCCATCTCGACTTGTACCGGAATGCTCTCCAAGCGTTGCCGATGGAGCTCGCGATGCTGATCCCGACGCTGGAGGTGGCCAGCACCCTGTAGTTGAGCGACTGATTCGAGCCATGCGTTGTCGTAGGTGCTTCACGTGGATGGAAACCCGCTGTCGGCGCTTCCAGAGAAGTGGTGCACGCGCTGGCGACTCCAGGACAAGTACCGAACCCAGTTTGCCCATGGGTACTCAACGCCGGAAGCGCTTGAGTGGACCCAAGACCACGCGATCTACTATCCTGCCGTCGTCGCGGTCTGGACCGCCCATGCGGACGAGTATCTGTCGCACGCTGTGCTAGTTAGTTCGTTCCTGGACGAAGTCCGGACGGTGCTACATGATCAGTGGCAACCGCGGTTTGAAAAGCCCGTCAAGATGCACTTCTTCGAGTTCAAGTACCAGGGACATCCGACCGTGTACGATGACGCAGGGGACGATGTGCGGAACGACCACCGGCGGCAGGAAGCGGCTCGCGCTGCGAGTCGGGACGCCCAAGTTGCCGCCATTGCATCGGACACATCCGTGCTAGCCCACGCGCTCGACGAAACGTACGCGGTTAACATGGTCGAGGCGGAGATGAAGAGCGCCGTCAAGCGAGAGCGGCATCGTCGAAAGAAAGAATTCGAACGGCATGTGGCCGCCAAGACGCTGCAGCAATACATCCAAGTGCACGCAACCGAGCGCAATGACGAGGAGGCGCGACGACGCCAAGAGGCGCGACATGAATTCGCTGAACGCATGACGCACGAAGCGCTGCAGCAGGAAGCTATATTGCAGCGGAACTACAGCGCCCCAGATCAAACCAAGTGGAACTTTTACCATCGCACCGGGCGGCACCTCGACGACATGATGGAGATGCAAGTTGAGGATGGCCGCGTAGAGAAAGACCACTCGCGTATCGAATCATGAGCTCGACGGATACATCAGCAATTGTGAAGTCAATGGCAATGCTCACAAGTTCTCGGGACCACCGACGACGTACCCAAGCTCCCGAGTCACGTACAACCCAATGGTGGACAGGGCAGACGCCGTCTCCGCGACACACTGCGCGGGGTTGCACAGCCAAACGCGCTGGCTTGGTTGCCTTACCCATATAGATCCAACTCTCCATCACAGTGATCATAGCCAAGCGCACAGCGTCGGACCTGTGTTCATGGATGGCTAGGGCCTTATCACCGTATATGTGCTCGAAAACATGCGCCAAACCCTGTCTTACATCGATGGCCACCCGGCGACCTTCGCGACGTTTACCTGCCCGTTGGTCGCCCCAAGTTGGCATCCAAACGGGACAAGGGAATGCGGTCGAGCATTATCCAGACATGAGGCGTCGGACACTCTTCAGTGGTGGCTCCACGTTGAAAGGTAGCAGCGGTGGATGTCCCAGTACAAGCGCAGGAATCGGGAATTCCTTTGCGCTTGTGTCCACGACTTTGCAAGCAGCACCGCCGGCGTCATTGGATCTGACGTTGGAAATGAAACGCTCGTTTAAATTTTATCCAATCAAATCCATCCAGTCGGCCGCTCGTTTAAATTTTATCCAATCAAATCCATCCAGTCGGCCGTTTTCAAGAAAATTTTCTGAATTTTGGCCAACCAGTTGGCGAAATTGGTCGAAAGGTGGACCAATCCCAGCCACCTTTCCCTGTGCCTCTGAGAGAGAGCCGTCAGTGCACCATGGGGATGTGGCCGACAGCAGCTTGGGCCCAACTGGGCCTTGTGCTGCTTTACGTGGCAACGTCCATTCCGTTCTTGATCGATATGCGCGCAATCCCTCGCACCAACACGTGCGGCATGACGTACTCAGCTCCCATCTACAAGACACTGCCGTTCCACTCCATCGACGCGACGATGGCGCATACGTATGCCAAGTACACGTTCGCGCAACTGTTCATGGACGGAGATGGCCGCCACCACGACAAACAGTCGCAATCACCATCGGGGATGCCCATGCTGTTTGTGCCAGGTCACCTCGGTAGCTACAAGCAAGCCCGGTCGCTCGGCCAGCACCTGGCCAACCTGCACGCTGACATCGACCTCTTCCTCGTCGATTTCAACGAAGAAGCCACAGGCATGGCGGGCCAATTTGTCCTCGAGCAAGGATTTTTCGTCAACGAAGCTGTGAAGGAAATCCTTGCTCTGTACAAGGACTTGCCAGAGGACCGACGACCGACCTCTGTCGTGGTCGTAGGGCACTCCATGGGTGGCATCGTGACCCGCACCGCGTTGACCTTGCCCAACTACAAGGCTCAGTCGATCTTGACCATCGTGACGCTCAGCACGCCGCACGTGGCGCCGCCATTCAACCTGGACGCGTCCATGATGGCCGTCTACTCGACCGTGAACTCCCGCTTCTGCCCGACGTCTTCCGTCAACGGCACAACCTTGGCGTCATGCCGGAATCATGCAGTCGTGATAGTGTCGCTGGCCGGGGGGCTCAAGGACTTTGTGGTGCACTCGTCGCTGGCCGCAATCGGCCACGCCATCCCAACGACCAACGGATTCGCCGCCCTCACGTCCCTCCTTCCTGCAGTCAATGCTTCGATGGACCACCTGTGCATCCTCTGGTGTCATCAATTCATGGAGGCTCTCTCGGCCGCGCTCGTCCAGCTCATCGACCCGACGACGCACCAGCTGCGCCAGAGCCCTGCCGACCGTCTCGCGGTCCTGCGTGAAGCGCTTCTCGGCCCAAATCATGCCGTACAGGACCACCACGTGGCCCGAGGGTTTACCAGCGACGAGGTGATGGAAACCGGCGGCATCTTATCCTTCGAGCTGGCATTGTACCTCTTCCGCACGCAGTACCTCGTGCCGTTCCCGCTCTTGGCCTTGGTCGCACTCGCGATGCTCACGACGCAAGTGGAGCGGTGGCAGCACGATCCCGACGGGTTCACGAACCCGACCTTCCTAGCTCTGCTGTCACCTGCCGCGCATTGGTCATCACTGTTTCACCATGGCCTGCGCCAGGCCCACCTCGACGGTCATTCCAAACCTGTCCAAGCTGCCGCCGTGGCGGCCATCGCTGTGGCCGTCGGGGCCGCGGCATACGCCGTGGATTTGTTATACTCGGCGTTCATCCTCATCCTATGCTATCTGTACCTCCTGGGCTTTCTGCATCTCGTGACGGTGCTCATGGCGACATTTGTGCCCGACCGCGTCCTGCTGCCGGCGCGACTGCTGAACGTCTTTAGTTCGCGAATGGCGCTGACGATCTTGGCGAGTTTGGTGGTCGCGGGGGGCCACGTTGTGTTCCAAGTGGGGTTTGATGCGACCCGGGAGCTCGCGCTCGTGGTGGTAGCCTTCCTGGCAGTGCATGTCGTCCAAGTGGTGTCCGTCCTCCTCCTCCCGGCAACGTCGCGGTCCCCGCACCACGTGACGTACCAGCGCACGCTGTTTGCATTTTACTTTGGTGTGTCGCCGTGCTGGATCGGCGACGTCGTGTATTTTGTTGATGTCGTGCACTTCCCCCGTCCCGTCGACTTTGCATTCGTCGTGCACGTTCTGCGGTCGCTCGCGCTGCTTTTCCCATGCTTGATCCATGTGTACCTGGCGCGGCAATGGATGTTTCCGCTGCCGCCAGACGCCGTCTTCGCGCGGCTCCAAGGAGTCCGCCCCAGCTCGTCGGCCATCGTGACCGCTGACCAGTGCCCCGACTGTTTTGTCGAAGACGGCGGCGACGGCGCGATCTTTGAAGAAGTGGACACTCCTAACACGATCCATCTCTCGGCCAACGTTGTTGTCGGCCCGACCTTCCGCGTCGTTTCATGCGATTGCGGGCTGCGAAATGTGCCATCCCGCGACTTTTGCGCATTCTGCAAGCGCCTCTGTGTGACGTGTGGTGGCGGCGAAGGCGCGCGGCGCCACGCGCACATGTTCCGTGAATACATGGCTAGCGTACAAGACCAAGTGGTAGCGCATCAAGGGATCCCGCTCGTCCTCTGGCTCATCCTCGTCATTGGGTTTGCCCTCGTCGCCCAGACGCCACACTTGTTGCTGTACGTGGGAACGGCTGTCGCGACCATCTTTTCAATTTACCACGCGGGGCTGCGGGGACCGCTGGACGGACTGCATGCCGCGGCGGCCGCATCGTCCACACCATGGATGGAAGAGTCGCGCCAGTAGAAGGAATCACACCCTCCTGTCCATGGTGAATGGCCCCACAATAGAGATTTATTCCTGGATCGTTGGGCATATGTGTGCCATCGCCAAGATGTGACGTGCTCTCCTTCGTACCTTCGTTCGTGGTGTAGGTGGCGGCAACCCACCGGCACTCTATGTCCATGCAGGTAGGAATGGCATGTCCACGATGAGCTGCCTGGCGCCGCATGGCTTTGTTCATTTTCTTCTCTCGATACCATGGCGATGGTCGTGGACGGCGAAGATGGTGGTATCGCCGGAGTCGCATTTCGTCCAAAGGTTGGATGAAGCCGGGGAGCGCTGGTTCCATGCCGCTCTTTCCGTTGTCCATGACGCCCGACCGACTCCTAGGCGACATCCGCGCGTGGGCTCGTGGAACCGCATTCGCGCATCCCATCAACTTGTTGCGATCGTGGAATTATTCCACCCTCGCGTGCTCCACATGTGCCCCTTTCGCCATCGGCAGGGCGCTATCTAGTGCTGGTCATGGCGAAACAAAATGCATGTGCGTTCCGAGGTGGCAGCGTCGACGTAGGGGGAGTCATTACGACTAGGAAACTGGCGACCAACTTGCGTACAGGGCATCTACTCGATGGAGGAGGTATACATAGTGTTGTGGCATTCGGTAAACCATAGCTTAATCATGGCGCTATGTTTAGTCGACTTTCCTGTCAAGGGACAAGAGGGCGCTGGCGCAGTCCATCCATCCTGAGCCTCCTGCCCACTTGGACCAGTACGATGACATTATGTCGTCGTCCGTGCAAGATGGGCAAGTCGTCAACGGGTCGAGGCCGCCTGCAATGCACAAGCCGACACCGAGGATGGAGCTCCAACCGACTGCATGGACCACGCTCGCCGTGGTGCTGTACACGTACACGAGGGACGCCACCCAGCACGTGACTTCGAACACCGACCGACGGAAATGAGCATTCCAGTTCTGCGGGACGTTGGTCCATCGGGACTGGACTGTGAGTCCGAGCCGTCGAGTTGGCAGCCACAGGCAAAACAGCTCGCCGACCATAACAAAAGCAACGCCCATGGCCGTAGCAAGCATAGCGAACTGCTTGATGTCGTGGGTCGTGTTGAGGTAAACATGTCGAAGGCATTCCAACGCAAGAGCGCCAAAAATGACGTTCTTAATGAGAAGGACGTCGTCGCTACTTGCGGGCTTCACGGCCACGCCCTTGTCGACCGAGTGAGGAGCGGACGTGGCAACCTCAAACCCCCATCGTTGCAGAAGCAATGCTCCATGTGGATCTTGCTGTATCCAGTGAAACGCAGATTTGGCGCCAGCGACAAACACTTCGTCGCAAATGGACATGGCAAGTCCGACTGAAAAGCCAATTTGGGCTGCCCATAGAACATCGTGATGAATGCTGTATGCGACTGCAGTCACGCTTGTCCACACAAGTACTTCCAAGAACGAACGGAGTGTTTCGGTCTTCCAGTTGAGTTGCCAGCACGTCCAACGTCGTACAAGGGACGACACCACGTGCACTCCAACCTGGACCGCGGGATTTCCCGCCAAATCCAGGTAGAATTGGCTTGCCACGTTGGGGTGGCGCATCCACGAATGGAAGAACGTACTCTGCGACAGGATGTCGTCGCCAGTCGGGTCTTCATACAGCGTGGTGTATCCCTCGTCATTGTAGTCTGCATCTAAAGTTGAGACAGCTTGCATGTGGCTTTCACTCCACACAGCATCGCGCGGCAGTCGGCGCTCCATTGTCGCTTGTTCTTCGACGCGCGACTTGCGAACTGAAACGTTCTCACATCCAACGCAAGATCTGCCGTTTGCCTCGCCAAACTTCTACCAACATTCTGCTAATTCATGCAATTTACAAAACTACCTTGAACAATGTATACCATGATTTAAATTTCTCCTCCCCAACGAACCCAACCGGCGCAAAAACAATCAACACTCCGTTTATCTGGCATTTTGTATGGATCCCTCCACCCCTCGAAACCGGTGGTTGAAGTTGTCCAAGTCTCTCCCGCACACACGATGGACGGCGGCGTTCGACCGTCCATGTTGGCGCACGCGGGGTCGTTGCGGCTGAACGATGGAACAAAGATTGCCGAGGCACAGTGAGCATGCAGCGTATGGTGCATGCGGCTGGCAGCATTGGGAGATGCATGATGCTGGTGTTGAGACTCAAAATGCCGTCGCGACCAAATTTGACGATCATGCCAGCGTTCGGCTCACCCCCCGTTTGCGAATGAACAATGGGTGGGCTCGCAAGTTCTGCTGTGTCCCCGTATTTGGCGACAGCTAGCGTTTGGATACTAGTACACATGCCCGCGACAATGACCTCTGCCAATGGGACATATGCACAAACACGTCGCAGCGCCATCGAATACAGGACTTCGACCAGCCATACAAGGCAAAGATAGCTAGCTTGTTTGGCGCTTTCGGGGCCTCGCGCTTTGCGTGCATGGAGGGATGCACGCTCGTCGCGTCCACTGCGTCTTGGTTAACAGCAAATGCGTTTTCGCGACAAGAGCATCATGGTACGTTATGATCAAAGGCTGACCCTTGTGTCTACTAATAGTAGTACACTAATGTACTGATCTCCCCTACTTTGAAACGGGTCAAACCCGATAAGTTACGAAACCTTATACTAGAACGTACAGGTATTATTGATAATACTCCGGAGTATTGAATAGATATAGTTTGTTGACATGAGTCATTGGAAGTCTACAGTACCTGCAAAATTTGATTCTCTGTCTAAACTGTATAATTTGCTCTGTTTCAATGCAGGGGGGAGATGTTAGAACTACTTAGTACTACTAAAAGGTGCACTTTTCACCAAAATTTGAATTTCAATCAAATTTGGCGGGTTTCTCGATTTGGTGCACGCGCTCCTACCACCGCGCCAGCCAGAGGCCACCATCATGCACGTGTCGTACCTCTGTCGCATGCTTGAGACCCGCGACGTCCAACGGTTCATGTGCCGCGCTGGCATTCAAGTCGGCACCGATGCAGCTATGAACAAAGTTCGACTGGCGTTTGCTGAGTTTCTGCGGGATATCCAGAAGTCAGCGATTGCGAGCATGGAAGCGGACCAGCGATTGACTGTGTACGCCAAGGATATTGCTGCTGCCCTCATTGTACATCCTACTCGCACTAAGTTGTATGGTTTTGACGATGTTGTCGAGGAATCGATCGATGACTGCGATGATGATGCTTTCAGTGATGACGAGAGCGAAGGTGGTGCTGGGGATGACGATGAATCATCTTCCAACGACGACAGTTGCTCCGATGTTGAAAGTGGCGAAGATCTTGCCACCGGGAACGAAGATGTGTGTGACGATCGGTCCTTTGGCGACGGCGAATTTTCCGACGCGGAAGACACAATCAAGCATGCAGCTCAGTTCACCGACGAAGATGCATTGTGGGATGCTTCCCACGTGGGTTTCGTGCGATTAGAATCGGAGAAGATGCAACTTGCACTGTCGCGGGAGGTCTCGTCGCCGTACATGGTGTCTCGTCATGTCGTTCTGAAAATGTGGATAGCGTTGACTCCGTTGGCTATCACGCGGCCAGCCTTGAGTGCATTGCACAACGCCGTCGAGCATGTCATCTACCGCGAGCTCGTCGATGGGAAACTTGGGAGTCAGTTTCTGTACACGGTCATGGAGAGTATCGTGGAAGAGCAAGCTGCAGAGACGGACCGGCTGGAGGCGGAACTTGTCGAATGTCGTGCGTCGCTGGATCAGGAACGAGCGGCGAGAAAGCGGGGGCGCGGTGGACTTCGCGAAGGGTCAATTTACCGCGAGAACATTCCATTGCCGACTTCCCACCCATCACCATCGTCGCCACCTTTGAAAAAGACGTCTTCCATGGTCAACCCAGACCTTCCAAGTGCCAAGAAGCAGCAGCTTGTCCACTTGACCATCTAATTTTGTAAGTTCAAACGATTCTTTATAGCTTAAACCATAAACATGTTGGGCTGGGTGTCTACGGCCGCGGCCGCAGCCTGCGCGATAGTTTGTTCGTCGGCGGCTCGGAACTCGTTGGTCTTGTGGCAAAGCGCGACGAAATCGCGCAAGTGAGCAAAGAACGAGTCTCCCTGCATCCTACATCACCAAATGAACAAGCACGTCGTTGGCGCCGCGCGAGTACCCCAGGAACGCTTCGATGTTGTTATGACCAGCGTCTTGGACCCACAGCGGCAATGACCGCCACGCAGCCTGGCATGCAACAAACAGTTCCTACGGCAGTGTTTACTCACGCATTTGTTACGACAGGACAACGTCACACCTCCCCATGCCAAAACGGAATGACTTCGTCCCGGGTCCCATGGATGATGGTGATGGGGGACTCGATGTTTCCGACATGATCGATATTGCAAAACATGTCCCCGAGTAGCGAGAACCGGAACTGAAACGCCACGCGGTAGATGGACAACAAGGGGCTCTGGGAGAAGCACGACATGTTGACTGGACTGAACAGGCGAGATTGTACGTCACCTGCAAGATGACGCCGCCGACGGGAGCTTTTAATCTCGACTGCTTTGCAGCAAGGTAGCATGACGGACCAGTACCCAACGACCGCCCGTACCTACAGCGAGCCACAGAGTAACGCGCTTGTCCTGTGGATGCGAGGTGAGGTACAGAATGATGCGACTGGGAGGCGTTTTCTTGACGTCGACCAGATAAGCAAACGCAGCTTCGACGTCCGAGTACACGGCCTCTTCGCTCGGCACACCTAGGCTGATGCCGTATCCAGTGTAGTCATACGCCATGACATTGACCTGTGCAGGATGTCGGTGCGTCGCGAACACAATGGGGACGTACGTTGATGCGTCGACTGACTTCGCGGAACCACTCGTAGACCATGCCGAGGTCTTCTGCATTGCCGTGGGAGAAAAGCAGCGTGTACTTGGCGCCTCTAGAAAGACATTATGGGTGGAATCGCGAGTCGTCGAGATGCGCAGGATCAACGATTCCTATAGCGGACAGTCGACGTACTCGTTCTTGATGTAGAAGGTGGCAATGCGATTGTGCAAGGACGTGGCCAGCATTGTGTATTGACGGCAACTGGTGTATGTCGGCCGGGGCGGTTGAAACACCAGCTGACTTATCATTGCCCCCATGGCACACCGACGAGTTCCTCGGCTTTCGTCGTCTGCGTACCGGATTCGGAGGCGAAGCCTGGCTTCTTGTGCAGTAACTGCCACAGCAGTGGCCAATCAAACGTGGTGAAAATGCCATTTTTATCCAATTGAATCTCCTTAATTGAAATCGCGAAGTGCTCCTCAATTGTCAGCGAGACATTCCTTCCGCCAGCTCCCACGCCGGGAGCTGCTTGCTTCTGGCCACCGAGGAAGCCATGCGCTAGTCTGTGTAGTCATCTCTGCCATTTCGTATGGAACGCACTGCGTAAGGGATTATGCACTATGCACATTGCTTGCATCGAATGATTTTATGCGATGCTGACGACGCAATGTTCTGGATGTAGCTGATACCCATGAACGAGACGAGAATACTGGGGTGATCGCGGCATGGCATTCTACAACATACGCTCGATTAAGCTTTATTTTTTCGCTTCTTGGGCGTCTGTGCGAATGCTGCCGTCGCAGTCTTCTTGTCGGATGCCTTCTTCACCTTTTTCGGGGCAAACAGCGCGCCAAATATGTCCGCAACGTCCGTCGAGGCGTTGATTTCGACGGCTTGGCCATGAATGGCAAGAGGAATGCTGGGAAAGGCCCTAAAATACAATAAGTGAGGATAAAACATCCAGGATGTGGAAAACTTTCGTACCGCAGCAGAGTCTGCAGAGCATAAGCGATGGTGAGGCACTCTTCGGCAATGTGTACATCCGCGTCTGAATGGCCGTTTTCCGTTAACAGAAGCGACAAGCTCTCTGCGGCACTCTCTGGGTCTTCCAGTCGTAATTCAATCAGCTCGACAAAGTTGTGGACGAGTAATTGGGCGTCTGTCAAGAACACGGCTTTGGTCAGGTTGAACTTTTTCGCCGTGGCGTCGAAAGCACCCGTCAATGCGAGCTCGAGTCCTAATGGGTTGTTCTTTTCCACCAGTTCGACTACGACTTGACGCTGTTCGTCCGTTGCACACAGAGCCAACAAAAGGTCGGTGCCTCGCAGGGAGGCGGATGTTTTTGTGCCATGGCTGCCCTTGGAAAAGGCGACCTTGGGCATGGGCTGCAGCATCAGATTCGGTGCGAGCTTGGCCAGGCGCTCCTGCAGGTCCACAATTCCTTCGACTGCGGATGTCATGTCGATGCTGCCAGTGATTCTTTCGCTTCAACCAAACTGTTGGTGGGTCCCCACATCCGGTAAGCCAGTCTTTGCCGGATATGGCCTGATATCCGGATGTTGGTTGACCATTATCCGGAACCCCTCCGGCGTTTGAAAGAAGTTCAACGTCGCTAGCACGACAAGATGCCAAGATTCATTTCGAATTCTGAGCGGCGATGGAGACGCGCCGTGCCGATACCGTCGGAGAAATTCGCGTGTACGGCTCTAGAACCGTCAGTATTCGTGACTCATGCGTTGCTGTGCGATAGTGGGAACCTCGCGCCGGGCGTGCCGTACCCGGTTCTCGATGAAATGAAGCACATTGAAGAGAACAAGAAATTGTACGCACGCGTATCCGTTGCAATCCGATGGTATCTCACTATGTGTATTCATTCAGCGCCGCAGCTGCCGCGGAACAGGAGCGACAACGTCGAATGAGCGAAGAAACTCTTGCTCAAGTACGATGATGCGACGTGTTGGACAACGAGTGAGATTTTGATCAATGGTGGTATTTGTATTTAGGTTCAAAGTGAGCTGCTGCGTGAGAAATCCAAGCGAGAAGTTGTGAGACTTGTTGAAGGCGAACGCGCTCGCCGCATCAGCCAAGAGAACCTGGCACAAGTATGATGTTGCCCTGGTGAAGACACGATAGGTGATGACTGTGGGTGTAAGGTGCACAACGACCTTCTTCGTGAATCGTCCAAGAAGCTCGCCGTGGAATGCATGGAAGCAGAACGAAGTCGCCGTGCGAGTCAAGAAAACTTCGCACAAGTAAGGTGTCGCGCGTTGCTGCCTTCTTCCTTCGCGCAAAGGAATCGTTACCGACAGACTACTCCAGGTGCATAACGAACTGGTCCGTGCGTCGTCGCAGAAGAAAGTGTTGCAAGAGATGGAAGACGAGCGCAGTCGTCGAATCAATCATCACAACATTACCGAGGTACCGACGTATCTTCTCTCATGATCGATCTCATCAACGCACAACTCCAGGTGCACAACGAGCTCGTCCGCAAGAACTCCCTCAAGGAAGTCAATGAAGCGGTTGAAGCCGAGCGAACTCGTCGAATCAGTTTGGACAAGAAGGCTGAGGTTTGTATGCGTGACAACTACCATCGCGTGATTCCGCTACCATTGCGTAGGTGAACGCGCACTTGCTTCGACGAGCATCAGTGGACGAGGCAGTCGAGCTTGCCGAATGCGAGCGCCAACGTCGCATTGCGGTGAGCTGTTGTGTTGTCATGCATCTTTGTCTCATCTTGCGTCCATGGATTAGGAAGCACAGTCGGCCATGTAGCGTCATCGTCGGTCGCCGCCTCGTGTGCGCATCCCATATTTCGTCAATTAAACCCATGTCCGGATAACAGAGAATCGATTCTCCCACATGTATACGAAAGGGTGCGCTCGGAAATTATCCGGATGCCTGGCGTTACATCCGATTCCAAACTGCTACACCAACTTTAGCAATTGCACCGAAGCATGGAAATCCGCCAAGCCGAAATCACCGACCCCGCGATCCCGTCCATGTGAGACGAAGGAAGGGTTGATCTACGGTCTGATCAAGGTGTGTCTTATAGTGCCCTTGGCACGGAGGGTGTGCCGTATCCTGTGCCAGGAGAAGTGGCGCAGATCGAGGCCAACAAGCAAATGTAATCGCCACCCAGTGCTTTGCCACGTTTGACCCGCTCGAGTAGGGCCCGAGCTGCCGCCGAGAAGGAGCGGCAGCGCCGCACCGACGAAGTTCGCAGCCTCGAGGTATTGCTCATGTTGAGAACGCGGTTCAACGCTGACCTCAACACAGAGCGAAAGCGCCATAGCCCGCGAAATCAACATCGAATACGCCATTGCAGCGATGGAAACGGAGCGCACGCGGCGCGTGAGCCAACACAACCTTGCTATCGTACGTCCGTGGACGACTGGGTTGGGTGTCGCATCGACCATCGCGGGCAGGTGCACAACCAACTCGTTCGGGAGAATTCGAAGAAGGAAGTCGCGCGACTCGTTGAAGACGAGCGCGGGCGTCGCATGAGCCAAAGCAGCATGGCGGCTGTACGTTCAAAGGGTGCTGTCTGGATGCTTGACGTGTTCTGCACGTAGGTGCACGATGAAATTCATCGCGAACAAGCCAAGCAGGTCGCTGTGGTGCAAATGGAACAAGAACGCTCTCGTCGAATGAGCGAAGGCACGATCGCCAACGTAAGGAAATCCGCGAGCATCAGTCACACTCTGGACTGTCTGCACCTAGGTGCACAACGAGCTGCTCCGCGCTCAATCGAAGCGTGCAGTCGTTGTGGCTATGGAAGCCGAGCGCGCTCGTCGCATGAGCCATGACGCGATTGCCGAGGTAGGTGCAGCTCAACTTCACCCCGTTGTGGAGATAAGATGGGGCGTATATAGGTGCACTGTGATCTCTTGCGACGCAATTCCATCGACAAGGTCGTGCAGCTCGCCGAAGGCGAGCGCAGTCGACGCGTCCAAGTACATGATCTCTTGTGATTGCGACACCACGTCATTTAGAGATGTCATGTTGGCAGGAGCACGGGGATCAAGTGGCTGCGGACGAACTCGCTCGGGCGGCGGGCCAAGCTGCCGCAGTCGAAGCTGCCGAGTCCGAACGCATCCGGCGTTTGAGTTCTCTGGAGCATGTCGCCACGATGGCGGGTATTTCCGCAGTCGAAGGAAGCGTTGCGCCGGTGGATGTAGCGAAGTCCAGTCAAGAAGAGTCATTGTCTGAGCTGCCAGTCGCGTCAACCGCTCCCGACGTCGAGAAACTGGCGCTGCGCGGTACACCCGTGTGCGAATACCTTTTGGTGGATCACGACGCTCTAGATCTGCGCGAGACGTTGGCGGATGTCTTGCCTGCGCTCCCCGCGAACTGCGATGCGTCCAAGCTCCAGACCATCCGTCTGCTGCGATTCTTGCGCGGTCACAAAGGCAACGTCGATGCTGCGGCGGCCAAGTACCGAGCGAACGTCGACTTGCGCCAAAAGTACAACCTCGACACGATTCGCGACAATATCGTGCTGGGCCGCATGACCGTACAAGATTTTCCCCACTACGAGAAGATACGGTGCGTCAAGTCATCTCGCGTCGGTCATGTACGTCACGTCCGCCAGGCGCTACGTGCCCGCGGTGACTGCCTATGACATCGAGGACGACAGCCACAACGTGCTGGCTTTCGAAAAGGTCGGGGCCGTCGACGTCCATGGTCTCATGGTGAACGTGTCGGAGGCCGAGTGGCTCACGTTTGCCCTGCACGAGCTGGAGCTGAGGGCGCTGACGCTCGACCAGCGGAGCCTCGAGCATAGGACGCTCGTTTGCGTCACGGTCCTCCGCGACTTGGATGGGTTCTCGCTCACCCGATTAACGCGGCCAGCGCTGGCGCGGCTTCAGCGCACAGTGTCCCTCGCCTCGACGTGCTACCCAGAATCTGTGCACAAGAGCGTCTTTGTCAACACCCCCGTACGTCCTAGCGCCGTTCATCGAGAGCGCCGTGGCTGACCACGTGTGTTTCTGTTTGCAGTGGGTGTTCTATACGGCATGGAAAGGCATCCAGCTATGGCTCGACGACGCCCAGCGGCAGAAAACGGTCTTCTTGACGCGTGGCGATGCCTCTGGTGCCCTGGATGTGATCTGCCCGCCCGCCAAACGCCCGCTTCTTTTTGGTATAAAGCTCGGACCGCTGACATCCTCGGTCTCAAAAGAAAACACATACAGGGGGCACCAACGAACGGATCGATCTCCGACCCACGGGGCTTCTCGGAAAAGACTCGTACGCGTTGCTCCGTGAGAATGGTACGTGTTGGAGCAGCTCCTGTCCACGTGCTTCCTCCAGTGCTTTCCACGACTTGACCCATCGACCTCCCATGACATGAATCCAAATTGGTCCGTTGTAGGCGCGACAGAAGCGGACATTCGACCGCGAGATGTGCTCACCGTGCCATTTCGCATGAACGCCAACGACACGCTGTGTTGGGAGTTTTGTGTGGCGCAGTACGACGTCGACTTTCTCGTCAAGTTTCGCACCCAGGGCGATGGCGGCGCCGTGGAGCAGAGCGTCGAGGGATGGGACAAAGCTCGCTTTGTGCACGGACAGGTGGAGGCCGCGAGCTGGACCGCGCCGTCCGCGGGCGTCGCCGTGCTTTGCTGGGACAACTCGTTTTCGTGGACCCGCGGCAAGACGCTGTGCTACAAGGCGAGTGTGGCCAAGCCGTCCATCGTCATGAACGACATGTCGGACGATGCGATGGACTTATCTGGCCACACGTCGCTCTGACGCATCCCCAGCCATCCATTTGTCATGCCAGTCCTGGCACAATACAGCGTCGAGTAAATTGTGCTGAAATGCAGTAGTGTACTCAACCAAGCGCCTGTGCAAAGATGTTTCGAGGAAGAAGCTAGTGGGTCGTGGGTGACGACGTCGCCATCAGACACATCAGCTCAAAGCACGTGCTGGCGGCGGCGAGCGCGGTGATTTTCAGCGGGGGCGACGTCCATCAATGTCTGCTCGAACCACATTCAACCACGCAGCATGCCAAACTGTTCTCGAGTACTCAGACCACCTGCGCCACCCAACAGCGGCATCATGAGCGCGAACTCAATGTGTCGACAATCAGTACATAGCGTACCCGCTTGAGGAGCGCCGGCGCCTGGGGCAAACGCTGGGTCCAACACGTCGATGCGACAGTCGATCGGATGGTTCCCGACGCGGTTGCGAATGTCCTTGACCACTCCAGCGACGCCCATTTCTTCAATCGCATCCATGTCCAACATGCTGAAGGGAGGCGTCGCGGGTCGTTGCATGTAGACGGGGCCACCGACTCGAGGCATCATTTGCGCGTCGACGTGGTCACAGCAGCTTCCAACATAGTTTGAAACTGTGGGGAGTTGTGGGATGGTTCACGTCATAGTCGTCCTCGTCACCGTTGGTCTCCGCGGCATGCGGCTCCTGGACCGGATCGGTGCGGACGTCAACTTTTTGTGGGAGCATGTTATCGCTCGTGCAGTACAGCGCTCGAAGTGCTCGGCGTCCACTACGCCGTGGTTCGACTTGATGGCTGAAATCATAAGAATCCGAGCATCAAAGCCCTAGCATACAAAGCAATATGCACTTAACGAGGCGCTTAGTTGTCGCAGGACGAACTCGACGTCGGCGGCAGCAGTGGAGAGGAGCGTCGCGATCGAGACATGGAAATTTGTGTCCATTCTGCCTCGTGAGTGGGAGGGGCATTGTATCCGGATCATCCGGTGGTGGAGTGGTTTTATCTGAGTTTAAACGCGTTTAATCCTGACTTTGATGTCGACGGGTCCACGCTAAATTAATTCAACCTATCCCAATTGCCAGGAAGAAAGGCCATGGACATTTGAAACACGTGAGATTTACGAACTTTGTTGTCGCTCTGACACACTGAAAAGTGACGGGATTGCGGGACACCGTGCGCCGATCGCTTTACAGCAGAATACCGTTGGACAACAGCACTTCGCACGGCGGACACTACGTGGGCTTGAAACCCCCTGGGACTCTCGAACGAATTAGCGCATCCTACAACACGCAGCAACAGACGTAATCGACGTGGCGGACATTCAATTCCGTGGTGTAAGAGCACGGTAGTAGGCTTGTGCAGCTCATAGCCATCGCACAACACGACACCAAGAGCGGCAGGCCAGCGGAACACCTCCGTCACTGTTGCTGCCCATTGCAAAATCTCGTTGGGATTGGGATATATTTAGTCTTGTGCGTTTCGACTGGCGCGCACGTGAGTGAAAAAGGAGTCGCGAGGCCAGACCACGAGCAAGTCGGACGCCAAGTGGAAGGACATGAACGGACTCGACGATGTCCACCAGCAATCGGAGCTGCTCGTGATGGATTACCTCCGTGGTTCTCGGTACATGAAGACGATGGACGCATTGACCAAGTGGATCACCGACAAGAAGAAGCACCGCAGTTCGTCGTCAGTCATGTCGCCCGTTGCCAGCGATCTATTTGCCAAAGACGCCGCCGCCAACAAAGAGACAAAGGAGCGTGCGAACTCCGTCTTGGAGTTCATGGTATGTCGTCCCTGCGACACGTCCCAGGATGTCCTGCGTCGGTTCAACTGTTGGCTGACGTAGGTTGGAAAGCGCAAGTCGGGCAGCAAATCGCCCAAAGTCAGGTACGCGACAGTCGATGCGTTTCGCGTACGAGGTGGCTGTCAGCCTGATATGAGAGCAGCTGCTCGCCTGAAAGCGCCTTTCACCAAAAAGTCGACGAAACAGCGGCGGCATCAACGACGTCGGTGTCCAAGAGTACGAAGGAATGGACGAAAGAAGACCTATCCAAGCTAAAGAAAGAGGCGAAGAAGACCCAAGACATCACCGACAAGACTGAGCGGTGGAAGACCGTTGGGGCGGCACTTGGACGAAGCAAGCGCGACTGCTACGAAAAGTACAAGGAGCTCAAGAAGAAGTCGCCCTCGCCAAAGAACGTCAAGGCCAAGGAGTCGCCAGTCACGGTGGACGTCAAGGGGATGCTTGATCTGAATGCAATCGATATTGGTGCAGCCGACGACGGGGCGACGAGCGATGGAGAAATACGGGGGAAAGATACCCCTTCGATCCAAAAGACCAAGAATGGAAAAACGTCGCCGACAAACTCAGTCAGCGTCCACTACGTCAAGGACAAGCCGTCCACGAGCCCCCTTGGGAGGGCTGGGAGGAACAAAGTTGACATCGCAAAGGAAGGTGGCGCCACCAGCCCGGTGTCTGACCTGTGGTGCAGCAGCGATGCCCTTCTCAAAGCCAAGCCGCGTGGGTCAGCAGTGGTGCCTGGAGACACCCGGTTTGTCCGCAACGTCATCCACCATCCCCTGACATTTGTTTGTGTTTTCCCACTAGAGTGTACAAATCGAACGACTTGGCTGTGATGGAGGACATTGAAAACGTGGACGATGATGAAGGCAAGAGCGAGTCGGCGCCGCCACCACGCGCGATGGGATCGTTCCCCGGTCGGAGCTCCAGTACGTGTCGGGCCCCCATGGTACTGCGCTTGCCTTTACCAAGCATCCAGGTGTCGAAAGCTCCACGAAACATGGCAAGCCGTTGCCTGCCGCCGAAGTGGCCGCTTTGCGCAAGCTCCTTTTCAACGACACGACGAAGCGTCTGAGCTCGCACTGGACGCACCAAGGGTTTGCCTTTTCTCAAGTGGAAGGGCTCAAGTACGGCATCGTGCAGCACGAAGGCGGGCCATGCGGTGTCATGGCCGTTGTCCAAGCTTACGTCCTGTACTACCTCTTCAAGGAGGACAGCGCCACGTGGGATGCGGTGCGTCGCAGGGGGTACATTTGCCTTGACGTGCGTGGATGATGTAGGTCACACCGCAGCAAGCGACCACGGCACTGACGCAGGCGCTGGCACACATCATTTGGCAGGCGGGGACAGGCGGCTCATGCAAAGTAGCCCTCATTCCCGGCGAGACACCCGTGCGTCCCGCAGTTGCCATGACCTTTCACAGCCGTCGTGAACGCTCTCGATGGCTCCACTAGGCCTTGGACCAAATCGCCGTCGTCCAGCTCAACACACGCCGCGAACTCGAGCTGTACTTGACGGCCAACATTGAGCAGGTTGGCGCAAGTCCACGCAACGTTGACCAACTTGATGTGGCTGCAATTAGTTTCGTGCGTCCAAAGGGTACGGCGCCGTGCTCGTCGTGGCATCCGTCATGCTGACGCGGGGCCTCGCGACCATCGAAGCCGACATGGACGCGGCCACTGGGACCGTCCCGACCTTGATTGGCGCGCACGACTACTGCACCCAGGTCCAGCACGTGCACGTCCTGTCGACTCCTGAAACATGCGTGCTGCAGGAAATGGTCAACTTGCTCCTCGTCGGGTACGCGTGCAGCAATGTGTTTGACGGCGCCAAAGATCTTGGCGGCGACGGCGGGTCCACTTCGATGGTCCTCCGCGGCGTGCAAAAGCGCAGCGTCGTCGGGTTCCTCACGCTGTTTGAAGCGTACGACTACATGGTCGTGGGGGACCATTTCAAGAGCCCCATGGACTGCATCTGGGTCGTGTGTAGCGAATCGCACTACTCGGTGCTGTTTGCCGACCCCGCATCGACGGTCGGCCACGCCTCGTCGTCGGTACGTCATGCATCCTGTTGCTTGTCTGTGGGGGTGCGAGGGGATGGCCCTTGCCACGGAACGCCACTGAACGAGTCGCAGGTCCCGTTCGATCTGTTCTACTATGATGGCCTCGCCAACCAAGACGAAGTCATTCGGCTCACGATTCAACCGCTCGGACTACCTGCCAAGCCCGAGAAAGCGTCTGCGCATCAAGGAGGCGACCTCACGCCGCCCCTCAACCTCGTCATCCAGACCAAGTGGCCGCGAGCGACCGTCGACTGGCACAGCGTCGAGCCCTTGCTTTGACAACGCTGCTTCTTCCCGCGACGTGCCAAACACATCTCCGACAGCATGGCCTCAACGTGTAGCCATCGACGCAGGCGACTTGTCCTCCATCTCTAGTCTGTTACGCTACACACGAACGAAATGGATGGTGGAGAAGCACTGTGAAGGAGGGGTTCGTGGGCACAACATCAACCTGCACACAATAAATTACACGTGCCTCAACGTATGGCTGTGAAGGGATGGAGACGGTGGGTCGAGTGGTGGGGGTCCTTGTCGTCCCAGAGCGCGGCGGCCGCTGACTTGGTTTTCTTGGTTGGTTTCGGGGGTGCAAAGATGTTCCAGAACCGGAGGGTCTCATCGGCCGCGCCCGACACGACCGTCATCTTGTCCGGTGCCGCCGCCATGTGCAGCACGCGCGCCGTGTGCCCCGTCAGCTCTTTGATCTTGACCATGCTCGGGTACTCCCACAAACACAGCTCGTTCTGGGCATATCCGTGCGACGACAGGAGCTCCTTGTCCGATGTGGCCCACAGCAGCGCGCACACCTGGGAACCTGTGTCCACAGACTGCAGCAGCGAACCCGTCTGCACGTTCCACAGCTTAATCGTGCGGTCGGCGGTGCCGCCGCCAGACGCGAGCACATGGCGCTCCCACGGACACCACGCAAGGGCCTTGACCGCCGCGACATGGTGCTGGAGTTTGTGGACAGGTCGGATGTTGCTCGACGACGAAGACGGATGGTTCCAAATGCACAGGATGTTGTCGTTGCCGCCCGAAGCGAGCTTGGTGCCGTCCGGAGACCAAGCGAGACCGCAAACTTCTTGGTCATGGCCAGACAATGTCGCAATCAGCGGCTGCTGGATGCGGACGTCGTGGTGCTTAATGGTTGTGTCGCGAGATCCCGACGACAGCACGTGCTGGTTCCAAGACAATGCGCCGACCCGCATCGAGTGGCCGCGCAGCGTGCGGAGGAGCCGCGCAGTGTGGGCATCCCACAGCTGGATCGTGGCATTCGATGTCCCGATCGCCAACGTGTTGCCATCCTGGATCCAAGAGACAGAGCTAATGTATTCGTCGCCGTCGAGACTCATGAGCTCGTCGATTTCGCCCGTCGTGGCGTTCCAGAGGTACATCGACGGGCCGAGCGCGACTGCCAGGATGTTGTTGCTACCCCATGAGAGGAGGTTCAAGTAGTAGTCGTCCATAAGTTCGGGCGCGTCCAGCACCTTTGTTGCGGCCGTGGGAATGTGCCGCACTGCCTTGACCTTGTCGTTGCTGCTGCTTTGCTTGGACGTTTTGTGACGATGCATGAGATTTAATGCGCCTTGGAAGGAAGACGAGTCGTGCTGGGGTGCAGGTTTCTCTTTGAATGTGAGGATGCGATGGTGCTCCAAGTCCGACGTGCCCAGCAACGACTCGGCTAGACATGCCTGGAACGTGGGTTTGTTTGGCGTGGTGGTAGAGACGCTGGATTTCTTGGGCGTCGTCGCGGGGGTTGAAGGGTCGCGATTGGGCTTGGCCTTTATCTCAAAGTGCGCCGTGATCTTGTAGGAAGAGGCAGCCATGTTCATGGCCGAACGGTTCGGAATGAATCGATCGTTCTAGGGACGCCCGGCATCATTCTTCGCGACAAGGCGCGCAGAAGAGTGTACTCACCGTGACAAGTTTCTTGGATTTTTGAACGGGGGATGGTGCGGGTTCGTCGAGTTTTTTCTTTCGTTTCCATCGCGACAGCGACGCCGGTGTTACGGTCTGCTGGCTGTTGTCGTCTGCGACCTTCGAAGCCGACGTTGTACTCGACGGGGTTCCTGTGCGCGGTGTGGATGGACGGTGAAGTGCCGGAGGGGAGAAGAGGATGCTTCGGCTCGATACAGAGATGCGCGATTTGCTACGTCTATCTGGGCTCCTTCGCATTGTCGTCGGCCGCTGCTCCCCGGACGACAAAGGCGGCGCCGAAGTGCTGTTCTGCATGCCACCACGGATGCGTGTCCGAGTGGCCAAGCAGATTCGGATTTTCAAACGTATCCGGATGTATCCGGATAATAGGAAAGAACACGAGCGGCATTTTTGGCGTGAAAGGCGCGGTTGGCGCCGCTGAGGTCCAGTTGCGTCCATGACGGCCCTGGTGGGCTGATTTGGCCAGCGCCACATGCGGATCTGCAGTGACGCGAAGTGGTACTCTGTGCACACCTCATGATGCATCTCCTTTGTCGGTGTATACGTTCCACCTGCTGCTAAACTTGATCCATTTCCCATTCTCGCGCGACAAAACGTAGCTTTGGAACGTATCAAGCGAAGTGCGCAGGCCTGCCTTGCCATTATCGCGCTGCGTGCGTTTTCCCCGGATACGTTGCATCTCACTGGAGGTTCTCCATTAAGTATCGTGATGCACTCGGTAAGGCACGTCCGTCGTATACAGGATCTCGGTGGTCGTGCCGTCGACAAACTGGACCCGGAACGTGTCGTGGGAGACCTGTACCCACATGAATCCGTTGGTCGTGTCGACATGGACGAGCTCCGGATGCGCGCGCGCCCGTGGCTTGAGATCATGCAGCGCATACCCGCCGGCGCCAGAGGTGAAGTACTGAATCGTCCCTTTCCGCACGTGCTGCATGGCGTGGTCGTGTCCGTTGAAATACGCATGGACGTTGTACTTTTCCAAAAGCGGGACGAGGTTCGAGATGAGTTCGGGGGTGTCGCCGTTGCCAGCAAAGCTGTACACGGCCCAGTGCCCGACCACGACGGTCCACATCTTGGACAGTTGGTCCGCGTCGCCTCCGACGGCTTTGGGTGGGTCCATCCGGAGCACGTTCTCCATCCATTCGTACTGCCGGCGGCGGGACGCAATCGATGTCTGGGCGTCCATGTTGGGTGTGCACCGAAAGTCCTTGAACTCGGGCGACTCCTGGCCACACACGAGGTCGCACGCGTCGAGCACGACGAAGCGCACAATCGTCGAGTTGTCGATACGGTGGTCCATGTGGTAGTACCTACACAAGTTCGGTGCATTTCAGCACCGGCGTCAGTTCGAGAGAGATCCCCACGTGCCTTTGGGGAAAGCGCCACAGGGACGTCGTCCGCTTGGCGTAGCCCAGCATGGCGTCGATGCTGCCTTCGCAGTCATGATTGCCGATGCTAGCAGCGCCATGAGTGACATGCGACGAAGCGCACCTCTCACCTGATGTACCACGGTACCTGCAACGCAGGATGCTTGTATATCTGTTTGAGCACGATCAGGTCGAAGACCATGGGAACGATCGCAGCACCTTTTCAAACTTGGAGATGACCGCCGGGTCGTCGGCAGACAACAGCCTACGTTAAATCGCAAGTGAGCATGCGACGTGAACTCGTGGATCGCACCCGTGGTCGTAGATCTGGTCGCCTGTCGATAGCACAAAGGACGCGCGGGGTTGGGTGGCGTCGACAAAATCTCCGAGCGATGTCGCGACCTGCGCCTGTAGCTTCGTGCCGGTACCATAATCCCCCATCACGACAAACCCAAGTGTTGCTTGCACATGAGATCCGAGTTTTGGTGGGTCGTGCAGTTGGGCAGCGAGCGCCTTGGATTTCGACTTCTTCTCCAATGCGCGTGTGATGTCCATGCTCGTACTCGTGATGAAGTAGCTCAAGATGTACACGCACCAACCGCACAGGGCAAGCACGAGCATGCACTCGGATAATCGCATCGTGCGCCGGCGTGCGTGGAACGGAGATTGTCGCACTGCCGACGTCGCAAGCCGCCGAAAGTTTGTTCGAGGTCGTCGACGCCAACGAAATCCGGATAATTCGCTGGTATCCGAATCTCTCGGTCACACAAGATTGGTTTCGTCACTGGGTCTTGATCCGCCGAGTGGAATCGACCGTCGGCGCCGCCGGTGAATCGTTGGCTGCCTGGCATGGGGAATGGGATATCAAGTGGCAGCAGGCCAAGCGGCGGCAACGAAGTCTCTTTGGCGCAGATCCCGGAGAACGAAAAGTTCTTTGGACTGGAGAACTTTGGCAACACGTGCTACTGCAATGCCGTCCTCCAGGTGCTTTACTTTTGCGCGCCGCTTCGAGCACACTTGCTCTCGCATGTCCAGCAGAAGGTATCGTTCATCTCCAAGTGAAAATGACTCGCTGACGCACCGGTCGTTGACTCGCGGCATGACGTGCCTTGTAGGGTCTGGCCAAGAGGAAGCTCGACGTTAAGGACAAGACTCTTCTCGATTGCATGGCCGAGCTATTTCACAAGATCTCGATGCAGAAGAAAGCCATGGGGTACGTCACGCCCAAGACGTTCGTGGCGAGGCTGCAGCTCGACAACGAAATGTTCCGCGGCTCGATGCACCAAGTTCGTCCTCCATCCAACCACCGCCGCAGTCCTCGTCTTTCCAGTGTCTCATGGACTGGTAGGACGCACACGAGTTTCTCAACTTCGTGCTGAATGCAATGTGCGATCAAGTGGAAGCCGAGCTCAAGGCGGCGACAGGGCTCACGTCGTCGGTTGTGTCTGCACCGCCGTCACCGACATCGCCTTCGTCCGCCTCTCCGTCGCCGTACAAGACTTGGGTGCACGAGATCTTTGAAGGCGTGCTCACAAACGAGACGAAATGCCTCGGCTGCAGCACCATCACAAACCGCGACGAGGCCTTCCTCGACCTCAGCGTTGAAATCGAACCCAATACATCCTTGACCGCGTGCCTCAAAAAGTTTGGCGCAGTCGAGACGCTCGCAGGGAACGACAGGTTTTTCTGCGATACGTGCCATGCCCTGCAGGTGCGTGGGCCATCACGATCGACGTCACGAATGTCGGCGGTGACGCGCGTAGGACGCCGAGAAGCGCATGCACATGAAACGGATTCCGCACGTCCTGGCGCTGCATCTCAAGCGGTTTAAGTACATGGAGGAGTCGCAGTCGTTTGCAAAGCTATTCCACCGCATTTTATTTCCATCCGAGCTCAAGCTTCCGCGCGTGCTGGTACGGCTTTGTCGATGCAGCGCAACGGCGTCGTTCGATAGGACTCACGGACGCGTCCTCTTCCTAATTCGACGGCCCCATTCTAGACGGATGCAGCTTCCCTCGACTCGACCAAGGTGTACCAGGTACGATGGCTCCACGGCGGGCTCGAATCCGCCGAGGCGACGGGCCTAAGGCTTCTGGGAGCTGTTTGGCGTAGTTATTCACATTGGCAACGGCATGGACCACGGCCATTACGTGAGCATGGTGCGATGCCAAGATGTGTGGGTCGTCTTTGACGACGAGAGCGTTCAGGTGAGTGGAGGGTTGCGAGGACAGGAAGTGTGATGGCCGATGGCTGTGGTAGATGGTCGAGGACGACATGTTAGAGCAGTGCGTTGGGTTCTCGGACGAGGTATGTGCCGGAGTTTACCGGGCCGACGGCTGACTCGGAAACAGGACCCGAACGCGATCCCATCCAACACGGCAACGGGCTACTTGCTGTTTTACACCCTGCTCGACTAGGATAGAGGGAGACTGAATCTCTGGTAACTTATCACGCAACAAGCATGGAAATGTCGCGTTTGGTGGTGCTTAGTCTGGACGAAGCATGGGGACGAGGGAGATCGAGTTGGCAGGCTACGAAGACTTTTCCATGAGGTGGATCGGCTTGAGGATCGAAAGTTTGTTGGTTTCGACGATCTGTCCGTTCATGATCATCTCGTCCAGGATAAAGTGTGCCTTTTCCAGGTTGAACATGATCTACAACACCCATGAGCGACGGAGGGGGGGGGGTGTCGATGTGGTGTCATGCCAACTTACATCCAATTCGCACACGCTTTCAAAGTACTTGTCCATGGTCTCGACGAGCGCGTGGATGAACTCGAGAATGCCGAGTTCGTTGTCCGAGTCGTCGTTGTTGACGCCCACGATGAAGAAGAGCGACGCGTATCGGCGGTAGATGACCTTGTACCCACGGTACTCGACGAACGAGCACTGGTTTTCGTTGCGGCCCAAGCACTTGCGGATGATTTCTGCTTCCAGCGCCACGCGCTCCGCAATAGGGAGGAAGTCGTAGTACTGCGCAAGGCGTGTCTGGCCTTGCTTGTTCACCATCAGCACGAACTTGATCATGGTTCTTGTCGCTGGTCGAGTGCCGTGTGTTGTCGCCACAGAGATCACAAATATCCCTGAACGGTATACTAAATTCAAATGATTTTGCCATATTTTTTCGACCTCACCAAAAATTTAACTAGGATTTTGTATAAATATATTTTGTTACATTCATGATGGACATTCATCTTTTTTGCAATTCCTCACAAAGTAGTATCACCCTTCCGAGGCGAGACGCACGTCACTACCGTTGCATTGCCGATGGGTACCACAAATTGCTTTCTCCAGACTGGTACTTGCAGCTCAGAGCGTATATTTTGGTGCGCGCATTCGAAGTCGTCGCGGGGGGATTGATACCAAATCCTTTATTCGAACAAACGTGGTAGAAATAATAGCAGGGGAAATCGCAATTAATAACGCTGGCGAGATTTAATTAAATTCTTCGTGATTTCACATTTGAAGTGGATTTCCGCGTACTTGGTAATTTAAATCCATTTAGAATCCATTTAAAACTTTCGACGGTCCTAGCGCCAAGAGTACCAAACATTTTCGAATTCGGTCAGACGCCGCGCCCGCCGCCGTGTAGAATGCGCAAGTCTGCGCGCCAGTCCGAGAAAAGCGCGGCTCGCACGCAGCAACTACAGCATCTTCAAAGAGCTCGTCGCGCAGCACTAGCGCAAGGTGAACACATCGAGGAGGAGGAGGACAATGACGAAGGAGAATGGCACCCAGACAACGACGACGATGGCGACGACTCGTCCATCTCGTCCGAGGGGGGTGGCGACAGTCCACCGCACGCTCGTGCGAAAAATCGTGGTAATATCGCGAGAAAACGAACGCTAGATGCAATGCAAGCCCAATCCACGAATGTCAGTGCCCCCGTCGCCAATCGACGCGAGGCTCCTGGCGTGGGAAGGTCGAGCAATGCAAAGGACCCGCGGCAACGACGTCAAGTGGTTGTTTTGAACGCTCCCGTCACGACGACGACAACGATGCAACAGAAGAGTGCGAAGGACCCTCGGCAACGACGTGTTCCAGTCCAACGCGTCCAGCAACAGTCAATCGTGAAGGTGGAGTTGCCCATTTACACAGATTCATCAGACGAGGACGAAGAACTCGCCAAGAAACCAAAGTCGATCTTGAAGCGTTCGCATTCCGTGCCGCTATCCATGGTCGTCGCGCCGCCACCGCTCCCACCAGGCGCGCCGCCCGGCATTGGGTGGGCGGGGCCATCGTCGCAGAACCCCGTGCAAGCCAGCAAGCCCCTGACGCTGCACAAACGGCCAAACCGCCAGCGCCAGGCGAATCTGCTTCGTCCAGTCATGACCTCGACGAACGCGTTGAGTCAGTTCTACGAAGACATCATGGAATGGGACTTTGGCCGAGCGTTAGTGCAAGACAGCTTGAATACAAAGCCCGAAGCGAGTGACGACGTCCAGGTCCCAAACATGTTCGAGTCGTTCGAACACTACTTTGCCGTGTGGAAGCCGCTGGCGGTCGAGGAAGTGCACGCGCAGACGATCAACGGTCTCGCGTCTGAGGTTCCGCCGGCGATTCCGATCGTCACGCGGACAAATGTGCTGGCCACGGCGGGCGTGTCCACGATGAAAGTGTCGCTCCTGATCAATCGCGGAGCGAACCCGACGAAGAAGCACGTGCTGCAGCTGGACGACATGCGAAAGGACGACCTCGTCCTCCTCACTGCCGACACGACGTACCTCACGCGGCGCATGAAGACGTCGGCCAAAAACCAGTCGTCCCCCGAAGACCTGACGAAATCGTTTGGGATCTTGGCAATTGTCGACTCGCAGCGGTCGTCGAGGTTGGTGGATTGTTTGCCCACGTAGCAGTCATCGTTGTAGCAAATGCCGCTGGCCTTGCGGCCGCCGTTGATGACGAAGCCATGTTGTGGTGCATGCATTGACGTCTATCGCCTCATGCGTGATGACATGGTAGGGAAGGCTTGGTGGTCGTGGTGACGACGAAAAAGTGGCGCGAGCTAACGGCCGTCGTCGGGACCGATAGTCCCATCGTCGTGTTCAAGATCAGCAACCTCGTCACGAGCATTCGCGAGTTTCGAGCGCTGTGTCAGTGCCGCGACTACAAGCTCATGCCGCTGCTCTTGTCTGGGAAGGCGCAGCCCCCAACGACGAAGCTGGACAGTCTCGGCATGGCCTACGTTGCGTGGTTGAAGAAGACATTCAATGAATCGCAGCAAGAAGCGATCGCGGCGGCGGCCACGTCCCACGGATTCACGCTCATTAAGGGGCCTCCCGGGACTGGGAAAACCACGACGCTCAAGGGCCTGCTGAATTCGCTCCATCTTCGAGAGTACAATCGGTATTACAACGCGGTCCTGGATGTCGCCCGTCGCCCCGACCATGAAACATCCAAGGCGTGGGCAGCCATCGGCGACGAAAAGCCGCACATTCTCGTACGACGCGACTCGACTTGCCCTGCAATTCACACACAGTGTTGGAGTAGGTGGCGGCGCCGTCCAACATTGCGGTGGATAATATCGTGGCCAAGATCATGGAGGAAGGGTTTTGCGACGGCGAAGGGCGGCAGTATTTTCCAAATATCATTCGCGTGGGGCGCGGGGCGGTAAGCACAGGTGTCGGTCCGTGCCATGGGGGCAGGGTCAATGCGAGGCGTTTAATTCACGCATCGCAAAGCGTTTTTGTCATGACCGTGGTGCTGCGTAGAATATCAACGTGAAGAGCGTGGTGCTGGAAGGCATGGTGGAGGCGCTGTCGTCGCAGCCACAGGACGTCGTCGAGATGCGATGCCGTCAGCTCCAGCACGAGCTCTCCGTGGTAGGCTCCCCCTCGTCCCGTTGCTTTGACCACATGCAAACCTCACACTGTCTTTGCATGGCTGGCCCAGGTACAACACGACGCTGTCTTGCTTCGTCATGAATTCCGTGCGATTATCAAATGGATTCATGAGTACGTGGACGACTTGCGCAAGTCGGCGGGTGCGGCACCCCCCGTCGAAGCAACGGCCATTGGCGACGACACCACGTCGCCACCGCCGATTCTTGACCAGCACCAGGATGCGCTTGTATCTGACACGCCAGCGGCCGTGGCAGTCTACCGCTTCGACTCGGAAGACGAGGACGCCGTCCACGTGCCGTTCTCGTGTGACGACGTGGCCCCGCCGTCGGTGGCCGACCTCGACGATGAAATGGATGAGCCATTTGAGAGTGTCCAGGTGGAAGGTGACGAGTCGGACGAAGTCGATGAACCGTTTGACCAGGACGACGAGGACGAAGTGGACGAGCCGCTGGGGTCCCCGGAACCACCTGTGTCGACTGCTCCAGTGGCCGCTTCGATGGAAGAAGGAGAGTGCAGCGACACGGAGGCACCGCCGCCGCCTCTGCCGTCGGGCGATGCGGCCGAAGCACCGCCCATACCGTCGCCGTCGCCCCCTCCAAGCCCACCACCCGAACCGGAACGTCCCGTCCCGCCATCTCCCGACGACGAACCCATCGTCATCGACTACAACGCGTACAAACAGTACCGAGACATGGCGCAGCGCATCAATCTATGCCTTGAACGATTCCACTCGGTACGTCTGTGAAACAAAGTTGCGATCAACCACGGGACTGTGCACAGCTCAAGCTCGAACTGCAACGGCATGTCATGGTGCTGCGGTCGATCGAGACGCATGGACGCGTCGTCAAGGAGACGCAGGACACCCTCGAGTCGTCGTTTCTCGAGTCGGCGCATATTGTGTTTACCACGCTGAGCTCGGCCGGCCACCGCGCGCTCGACGACTCCACTCGCTACGACATTCTCGTCATTGATGAAGCCGCGCAAGCGGTCGAACTGTCTACGATCATTCCCATGCGGTGTGTTGGATTGCGGCGCTCTCGACTCGGTGGCAATTCTTGCGTGTCGTAGGTTTGGCAGTCGGCAATGTGTTCTCGTCGGCGATCCGCAGCAGCTGTCGGCCACAGTGTTTTCACGCACGTCGGCGCAGTCGCTGTACGAGCGGAGTTTGTTTGAACGGCTCGAAAGCTGCGGCCACCCCGTGCACATGCTTCGAACGCAGTACCGCAGGTGCTCTGTCGATTTCTTCGTGTGCGCTTCGCGTCTATCGTCGTGCCTGTAGTCATCCGACGATCTCGGCATTTCCGCGGCACTTTTTTTACGGCGGCATCCTCCAAGACGGCCAAAACGTGTGCCAGCCAGCGTATTCCAAGATGTACCACAGCCTGGCGCCGGCATTCCAACCGCTCGTGTTTTTCAACTTGAGCAACTCGCGCGAAGGGATGAGCAGCATGTCCCGGAGCAACCCGATGGAAGTCAAGCTCGCAGTCAACTTGTACCTGACCCTCCGGAACTCTTGTCCGCCGGACGCGATCCGCGGCAAAGTCGGCGTCATCACACCGTACGCGGCGCAGATGGACGAGCTCAAGCGCGCATTTGCAGTCGCGTGCGGCGGCGATTTTCACCAGGACGTTGAGATCAACACGGTTGATGGGTACCAAGGCCGGGAAAAGGACATCATCATCTGTAAGTCGCACGTGGGATTTTGTCGCGGGGGGGCTTGACTCGGTGCGTAGTGTCGACGGTGCGGTCCGATCCTCGCAAAGGAGTTGGATTCTTGAACGACATTCGCCGCATGAATGTGGCACTGACCCGCGCGAAGTTTGCGTGCTATGTGCTGGGAAGCGAGGCCGCGCTGCAAAATTCCAAGCCGTGGGCCGCCCTCCTCGACCACGCCCGCGTCACGGGGTGTCTCGTCCACGTGCCCAACCCGCAAGAGAACCTGTTTACGCTCGTGCCGCAACCCCCTGGTCCCCCGCGTGGTGTGATCACGGCCAACCCGAATCGCGGCGGGCGAGGCCAGTCGCCCGCCCATCGCAACCAACATGGAGGGTACCACCAAGGCGGCCATGGCGCGGGGGGAGGACGTGTGTCGCCCTTGCACCGACGCGGTGGGCGAGGGGGGCGAAGAGGGGGCCGCCATCACCACGACACGCCGCCCACCCCTCGACACCAACAGCCCATTTCGTATTCGCCACCGCCCCATGCCATGTAAACCCGCATATTTAAGGCATACAGCAACACTTCCATCATGACGTCTGTCGGAGAGCTCGGTGTACAAGTTGCAAAGTGGTTGAGTGGGCTTCCCACGTAGCAAACGCAGCACAAAGACGCCTGGCCCCGTGACGTTGAAAGCTTCGACTCGACGCCGTTCGTCGCATGCGTACGAGCGGCAGCATGCGTCGCTGCACGTCGGATGCGACGTGCGGCCATCGTCTTGGCGATCCCTGTGAAACGCCATGCAACCGCCGGAAACGCCGCGTGGATATCGTCGTTGGTGCATGCGATGACGAAGAAGATCCTGCTGGATCGCGTCCGCCACGTCCTCGACGAGCTCTTTGTCGACGTGTGTGCCGACAAGGTCGAGTTTTCCGCGCTCGGCGACTTGTTCCAGGACAGCCACTTTCGTCTGCGCGATTCGTTCGTCAAGGCGAATGTGTTCAATACGCTGCCGATCCCGATGGAGATCAAGGTCGCGTACGTTGGTGACATCCGCATCGAGGTACGGGCGTGTCGCCACGTGGTGGTGACACGTGCACAGGGATTGTGGGGCGTGATGGCGGCGGGGTCGGCGCTGCGATGCACGATTCGCGACTCGCTGTTTGTGTTTGGCGCCAAGCAAGACGTCAACTGGACCGACGAGCTCCAGTTGCGGTACGCGCACGAACTTGCCGTGGCGCTCGTCCATCGTGTGTGGAATCGATACCACATTCAGGTATGTGCCCCATCATCGACCATCGCGACGGCACGTGCTGCAGGGCAAAGGGTCGTCAACGAACGAGTCCACCAAGACATGGATCCAAGTACGCACTGCCATGATAGCGGCGAACGCACCGTCGACCACACTCTGTAGAAACGAGTGACGGCCGCGCTGCACAGCATGACGATTCAAGTCGAGAACACGCACTGCCGCATCGAGGTACGTGGTGCAGGGCGTCGAGGCAACGCCTCGCGGGTGACGCTCTTGTCACCCGTGGCTAGATCGACGAACTCGATCGTGATGGCCACAGGACTGGAACGACGGACGTCATGGGCATCATCTTGCCGGTACGGCACCGTTCGCGAACCCGTTTGCCTGCACCGACGTCAACTCTTTCATGGCTTGAACAACGGTAGAAGCTGTCAGTGTACTCGACGGACATGGCATGTGCCATCTTGACGCGGCGCGCCCTGCCGCCGCAAATTCCTGTCGTTGCAGACGGCATGTCCAAGGTGGTTGCGATCGACGGTATACAAGTGTACACGACGCGCATCCCGACTGCAACGCGGACGCGGGACGAGTGGAAAGCCCACTTCCAGCGCCATTGGCCGACCGAAGTCCACACCCCCGTCCTCGTACCGGCCGACATCAAAGCCAAGGTCGACCTGGAGAAGTGCCGCGCGATGAAGAAGTTGCACGTGCGCGCGGTCGACGTGCATGTGAACCAGCTCAACGTTGGCCTCGATCTCCAGCAGGCACTTCATCTTCGTCTCGACCAACTCTTCATCGTCTCCAACACCACTCTAGATCGATGTGCTCGGCCGCTTCCTGCGCCATTTGGACACGCACGAGCGATACACTCGCTACCGCAAGCTGCGGCCGACGCAGGTCCGACGAACGGACGTGGATCCGTTGCCGCTTGTGATGTTGTCGTTCAATGTGTTGCCGCAAATCCAAACCATCGACCCAATGCCGACATGCCCCGTCATGGCGCCGTTCCGTGCGCGGGCGATGTGGAAGTATGCCATGCAGTGTGTCCTCCAAGATGCCTATCCGACGCGCCGAGATGGCCACAGCGTCGTCTGGCTAAGCAAACGCATCCTTCAGTACACGGACTTGTACAAGCGCAAGATGGGCGTTCCGTATATCGAACACGTCGTGCGGGACTTGATCGTGGAGCACAAGCAGAAGCAGCCGACCGTGCCGCCTGTCGTGCCCACCGTACGTGCCAAATTCGTTTCGAAGGTCGTGATGGCTCGTTGTGTAGTATGCCGCTCTCAACCGCGCCGAACTGTGGCAGCTCTCCGACTTGATGTACCAAGTACGAATGGAATCGCTGCCGGCCACCCGATCGCATCGTGGTTGCGCCGTCCATGCTGACGACTGTTTTGTGCAGCTCACGCCGGACAAGCAGCTCTATTGCCGGGCGTTGGCCGACCGCATCATTCGTCAAGAGTTTGCTACGCGTAATGCCAAGCCACCAGCATCCGAAGAACGTTGCAGCATGGCATCGGTCGTTCGGGTACGGTGCCTCCAACCCCCCCGACCACGCCATTCGATGCTTGACACATGCATGTGCAGCGCGGCAGTCTCGAGCGTCTCGGTCGTGTCCACTCGATCATCTTGAACGATGACAACCCGTGGAATCAAGTGGATGTGGAGGCGGAGCTCTTTGGGGACAGCAAGACCCATTCCACTCGCGTCGCGTCGCCCGTGGCAAGGTCCGACAAGAAAACGCCGCGGGAATTTCGCGACGTGATGACGGAGTTTGTCCGCAAGTACCATACAACGCCCATCGTCCACGTCGACGTGGGCCACGTTCGGTTTGCCTTTCGCCACGTGGATGCCGCCAACGCTTTGAGGAAGAACGAGTGGGAATTCAATTGCGAATTCGTCCGCGGGTGTGTTGCGGTGGCGGCGGACCCGGCCCCGTTCCTTTTGGTGGAAGGCCGTCTCGGCAGCGTCATGGCGTCAGTTGTCGTCCCTGAAGCTGTACGTCGCCAGGGCAGACATCAGCTCCCACTCTCGTCCCTCGTGACGCATTCTCCCACTAGGCCGACTGCCTCGTCGTGGCGAATTGCATTGCCGACACCAACGACGGTTGCTTCTACGCCGGCCTCCGCTTCGACCCGTCGAATGTACGTGGCATGCTCACGCTGCAGCCACGACTGCGTCCTTCTCGCCATGACGTCTCTCCTGGTCTAGATGGCGTCCGAGTTTGCCTGGAAAGGCAAGGTCCTGACTGGAGAGATCAAGGCGGCGGTGAGCCAAAGCGCCATCGACAAAGTCCGCCACACACTGTCGTCCAAGCTCAACGATGGTGCGCGTTGGTCGATCCT